TTAATATGAAGGAAATGTATCATACAATCTTTGCTTTAGAATATGCTTTTTTCAGGACCAGCAGATGGCGTAATGGTTACATCACTGGACTCCACGTAGTTGACCGCAGTTTCAGTCCCCAACTTGGGATCCTAAACTCACGCCAGGGGCATGTGCGGGCAGTGGAGGAGAAGTGATTGCAGTGTGGTCATCCCCCCTGGGGGGTGATTTCTCACTTTCTGTCTCTCTCTGTCTCTCTGGAGAGTGCACACACCCAATAGCAAAAATTTCGCTTAAAAAAAAAAAGAATATGCTTTTCTCACTTAGCAACATACCGACCAACTTTCCATATCATGAACATGAGCCCCACCAGCTGCAAGCTCTCCCCCAGTCACAGGTCCACTCCCTCCCTCCGTTCTCTTCCCTGACACCTTCCCTCCACTGGTAAACATGTTGGTTCTCTACCATTCTTGACAGACAACCAGCCACAGCTCTCCCGTGGACATGGACGTCCCTTCCACCCACTGCCTCCCTCTCCTGTTCCTTCGCGGGAGTCCTCAGACCACCTACATTTACTGACTTCGCTCTTCACCTCGCTTACTGTTCCGTCCATTCAATCTGGCTTTTCCCACCCCCACTGCATTGACACAGCCTTTCTGAGAGCGGCCTGACTTTCTTGTCAAACCCTTGGCCACATCAGGCCATCTGGCATCACTCTGCATTCCATTTGGCCCCAGGGATCTCTTCCACTCGAGGGCCTTACTGTACCGGAAAGGGTGGGAAACAAAGAGCTACATTTAGTATACTGAGTCCCTTAAAATTGGGTTATGCAAATTAGGTTTTCAGAATTCAAGCAATAGATGAGGAAAAGGCCATATTTCTGCGGTTTTCATTGTCTTCTGCTGGCAAAGAAGATCATGAAGACATAGAGTTTTCCTACAACTCCTTCCAGTGTGCAGTCCTGGCTGTGGGAATGAGGACACGACTGCAATCGTGGTGGAGCCAGCGGTGCTCTGGGACGGTCGACCTCGTGGGCTCCAGCTCGCCTGCACCGCTAGGCTGTGGGGTGGCCCCGCTAGGCTGTGGGGTGGCCCAGTGGTTCCTTCCTTCTTCTGGCCCCTACCATCCTGTCGTGTGGCTGTGTTGTATACCCGTTCGTGTGCCGCTGGCCGTCCGAGTTGTTTCCTGGCTGTTGCAGGGAATGCTGCCATAAACCTCCATGTACACATTTCTGTGTGGGCATGTCTTGGTTACTCTCGGGGTATACCTAGGAGTGGAATTGTTGGGTCCAGTGGTAACGCTTCATTTGAGGAAAGTGCCTGATTGTTTTCCAAAGTGACTGTACTATTTGCATTTTCACCAGGAGTGTTGGAGCATTCTGATTTTCCTATATCCTGATCAAGTGTGACTGTCTGATGTTTTGGCTGCAGCCATGCCAGGGGGTGTGAAGTGGTGTCTCATTGCAGTTGTGATTTGTATGTGCGTCTCTTGTTAAGATCAAGGAAGTCTTTTCCAGAAGCCCCCTTCCTTAGCAGATTTTCCATCAAGTCCATTGAACAGAACTGTATCAAATACGCCTTCCTAAAGCAGTCACTGGCACAAGAACTGGGACTGCCAGTGGGAACTCATCTTCTGGGCTGAAGCCAGGATCGAGGGCTCCCTCCTCTGGAATGCCTTCAAGAGAAAGATGCTCAGTTAACAATATTGGCTTCCGCTAAGGACGAGGAAGTGCGGCAGACAGCTATGTGGTGCTAACTGTGGCTTCCGTGACACCAGGCTCTTGTGACTTTCTTCCTCTTTCTCTGGCCATTTTAAAAAAAAGATTATTGGGACCAGCAGATGGGATAATGGTTATGTCATTGGACTCCTATGTAGTTGATCGCAGTTCAAGTCTTGGGCCTGGTGGCTAAAACTCACTCCAGGAGCGTGCGTGCGTGTGTGTGTGTGTGTGCGCGTGCATGACCAAAATCCCGAGACGAAAATGGAGAAGAAGGGATTGTGGTGTGGCCATCCTCCCTGGGGGTGATTTCTCACTTTTTGTCTCTCTGTCTCTCTCTGTCTCTCCAGTGAGTGCATGTGCCCTATAGCAAAAACCTCTCTCTCTCTAAAAAAAAAAAAAAAAGACCAGTTGTGGCACCAAGAGAACCAGGCTTCAAGTCCTTCTGTCACTTTTTCATAGCGACAGCAGTTCACCTCTCAGAACCTCCATGTATGTCTCGTCTGTAAATGAGTACCTACTTAGGGCTGCCGTGAAGATGAAGTGACACAAAAACTGCAGATATAGCAGGTGCTTGCTGTCATTGTCCACGTTGCATCAACCGCCCCGACTCCATGAAGCCCTCCCTCACCTGCTTCCACAGGACCTGCAAAGCTCTGGACCACGCCATGCCTGGGCATTGTCTGACTCTGTGCCCTCCCTGGCTGAGGGCTCCCGGAGCTCGGGTTCATTCGGATCCATCTCAGCCTCTCTAGTCTAGACAAGTTCTGAGGGCAGCCCACCAAGGACAGAGTAGGACTCCCATGAGGAAATGGCACTGGCCATTACAAGTGTGGGAGGGCTACAGAATGAGGCCGTGCCTGTCCTCCCTGACAGGCCGAGCCCAGGCTGGAGGAGCGGTGCTCCTGGCCGGCCCTCGCCCCCCTAGAGTGCGGGGCCGATGCCGCGGGTGTGACAACCACTCACACACACACACACACACACACACACGCCAGGACTGCAGGACTGTGCACCTGCTCATTCATGCAAATGAAGGATCTGCCAGGAGCTGGTTACGTGCAGATCCAAATCCTGTATTTCCAAAGGTCCCTGTGTCAGCCTCCAGGAGGTAGGGGACTGGAAGGCTTTAGAGAAAAGGGACAGCTCCCAGGGCTGCAAAGATTATTTTGTTGGGGAGGAGGAGCCAATGCCTATCCTCACAGGGAGACGGGTGTCCCTTGTGTGTGAGGGGGCAGTGCAGACCAGGCAGCAGAGACAGTCCCCCTTGGTGGCGGGGGCACAGCCAGACCTGCACTGCGCGGGCACAGGGGAAGTTAGGGAAGGGAGCCATCACATCAGGAGGGCGAGAAGAGCCGAGGCCGCTGAGCAGGGACATTGTCTGCCGAGCGAGCCAGAGCGCCCGCCTGCCAGAGCGCCCGCCTGTCCTCCATGCCCCGCGTCCCGTGAGGACCCGCGTGTGTGCAGCCCTGTGGCTGAGGACAGCGGAAGCAAGCATGGGCCAGGGCCAGCCATGGCAGGCGGCTCAGTCTGAGGAATGTTCTGTCTTCACAGTTCAACTTCTCCCCACTGGCGATGCCGGGCGGCTGCTCATGGGAGAGAGCAGCAGCAGTACAGGTCCGTCCCCTTCTTAGATCTGCCTTTTGGGGGCAGGTTTTCAGACTGCAGAAGAGGGGATGCTTGTGACAACCAAGGGCTTCTTCCACTGGAAATGTGCGAAGATTATGTCCCTTGAGGCCAATTTTGCCAATTAAAAAAAAGTTATGATAAACATGTGTGCACACACACGCGCGGTCCTCACGGGACGCCTTCCTCCAGGCCTCAATCCACCGGTCTAGTGTGCCCTGTGTGTTTTCAGGCGACCAACGGGGAACCCAATTGAACATGTGGCACCAGCTCCACATTTCCTCGGTGACCAACTGCCTCCCACAGAGGCCGGGCCTCAAGGCTGGATCTGGCGTCATCCCTGGGAGGTACAGGGTGAGAGAGGGGCTCTCCTGAGTCCATTTTCCTGTCTGGTGAGGTGTTTCAGCTTCACCTTGACCCTGAGGGCTACTGTGAGCCCGGCAAGATGCTCTGCCCTGAAAGCAGCAGCAGATCTGGTTCAGGCTGCTCCTCCTTCCCTTGCCCGAACTGGTCATGTTCAGCCTTGGATCGGCAGAGGATGCAGCACAGCATTAAATGCGCAGGAAGGAGAGTGGACGGGCCTCCACCAGCGGGCGCGCATCGTTCAATCAGCCATCTGGGGTCTGCAAGATGCCAACTCTGCTTTGCGGCCTGGGAGGTTCGAGGTGTTAGTGGTTTTGACGATGAGCCCGCCAACGGCTTGGTGGTTCAGGTGGCTGGATCCCACGTGGCCGACTGCGCACTTCCAATCACAGATCCCCCGACTTGAAAAACACCCTGGGCCTGTGTGTGTGTGTGACCAGAATCCCTAGAGAAGGACGGAGAAGGGATGGAGACATGGCCACCCCCCCAGGGGCGAGTTCTCACTCTTCTCTCTCTCTCTCTCCAGTGAGCAAATGCCCTATCACAAAAAATGGAGGCAGGGAAGCGGGGAGACTGGCAGTGGTTCTCAGGTTTCCGAGGAACGGTGTCTGAGAGTGAAGAGTAAGGTCTGGAAGGAATGGTGAGGGAGGTCCTCTTCCAGGGAAGCAGTTCCTGTCCTCGCCATACTCTGCATCCCATGCAAAGGCCCTGAGGCCACCAACCAGAAAGCTGGGGGCTTGTCTGCCCATCACCTTTGTCCTTGGCCAGTGCCCTGGTGTGACCACCGGTCGGGCTGTCCCTCTCACTCTGGGAAGTCAGGCCTGGCTCCAAGTGCCCCTCCCAAGGCCAGACACGGAGGTTCTTCTTGGCTAAAACCGCGTGGCTCTGTCTGTGCCCGCAGGCTTCCTGCTGGGCACTTTGCAGCCCCGTGTTATAGATGAGGACCTGAGACTCAGAAATGTTCTGGAACCACGTAGAAGCCAGCCGGCAGCAGGAGAGAATTCAGGTCAGGCCTGTGCCTGGGCCCAAAGCCAGTGCTCTAAAGTGGAGTGTGCCACAGCCCCTCCCGAGAAATGTCACTGCCAGCCTCCGGCCTCCGCCAGGTTGGGGCAGGTCTGCTCCGAGCCCGGGGACCCCGATTTGGGGAAAACTACCCTCCGGCATGTGGGGCCCACAGCTCCCCTTTCTTCCTGCCGTCTCTGGCATCTCGACCCTCCGATGCGGCTGCGAGCAAGGTAGAAGGGAGACAGTCCCTGCCCTTCCCTTCCCTTGCCCTTCCCTGCCCCCACCAGCTCGTTGGAGCGTGGGGGCGACTCACCCGCGCACTGCCTTGGGCTGCACCTGCAGGGCCCCGGGTCCCGCGGCGTGAGATCTCGCACCCGGGCGGGCGGAGGCGGCGGGACCAGAGAGGGTAAGCGCGGGAGCGGCCTGTCCTCTCCACTGCCACCTCTCCTCTGCGTCCTGAAAACCTGGCCAACCTCGCTGTGCCCCCGACACCGCAGAGATAAGCCGAAGCGGAGAAGGTTGGGAACCAGCGCGCTGGCGGGCGGGGCCACCTCTGTCTGTCCCCGGGGTCCTCCCCCAGCCTGCCCCCGCGGTCCGGTGGCGAACGGTGGCCACAGTGCGGGGATCGTGGGTGAGCCGCAGTGTCCCTGGGGTCACGGCACTTCCGACAGCGGCCGCTCTGGCCTCGGCCCGCCTCCCGGCGCG